GATCATTTGGATTTTAATTCTTTTCAAAGCAAAGTCGACATGCCGTTGGTGCTCACAGTGCCCTGTCTGCACTGCATGGAATCTCCTCCTGCTGACTCGAGGAAAGGCACTTTCACAAAGCATTCCACAACTCAGGAAACTCAGCTTTGAGATTTTAGAGTGACCCGTTCTAAACTAACTCTCAATACCAAGTATAGTTAAATTGAGTTCATCAGATATTTGGAGAAAACTGGAAAAAAAGTAAGCCCATTAAATACCTTGATTTATTTGTTCCTCTTCTAAGCAGATAATCTACCCGTTTTTGCAGTATCACAATGCCTTCCTTAGAAAACACTCAAAACGCTTGCTAACTCAGTTGAACTATATTGAATTCACAGGTCTTTCTCTTTCAGAAACAAAGGGCTGTGTGTATTTCCCAGAAGAATGTGTCTCAGTAACATACTTTTTAAGTTGAAAACTTAATTATCCAAAGTAGAAAATAAGATGTTCAAGGGCATCAGAAAGGGGGTTGCTATGAAAATCAAATTTTGAGACATTAGTTTGTGACTCAAACTGATACTGACTCAGCAAACAGAAGCATTTAAATTTCATTTTCACACCCCTTATTACATTTAGTCATCCAGCATCTTTAAAAGGAAGAAGTTCAGTGAAAGCAAGTATTCACTCTGCATGACACAAGACAGAATTCCCTTCACCTACTGCCCTCCAAACACATCACTCTCGGTTAAACAGGCAGCAGCCACCAGATGCTCTAACTGAAAATGGTCACAGATGGTCAGCTGGCCAGTTAACAGAACACACAGCGGGCCCCAAACCCAGAAGAAACAAGCAGATGTGTTGAGAGCTGGTCACACCTGCCTGCTTCCTGAGCTAAGCATACTTGGTATTTGATATGGTCAACTTTGTGAGCTCCCCACCACCAAGTTTCTAGAAAAGACAGAATAGCCCTTGCGGGGTGGGGGGTCTCCAGATCAAAAAGCACCTTGAGGCTGATGGAGTCCGCAGCTGTACAATCCACACAAGTGCCTCCCTGCTAGTCAGCCAGGCAGGGGACCTGAACTCACTGTCTCGCCAGAAAGCTCCTGGGCCTCCACAGAGGCCCTCAATGTCTTGAACTTCAATTAGTTCAACCACTCCGTTTAATTCCAACCAGGAAACACACTAAGCTGTTGTAATAGCCATGGTATACTGACTGCAACAAAGGTATTTTCCCGTTTATGCACTTAAGAGTGACTTAAAGTATGTTACTTTCTTTCTTTTTTTTTTTAAAGATTTATTATTTTTTTATTGGAAAGGCGGATATACAGAGAGGAGAGACAGAGAGGAAGATCTTCCGTCCGATGATTCACTCCCCAAGTGAGCGCAACGGCCGATGCTATGCTGATCCGAAGCCAGGAGACTCTTCCGGGTCTCCCACACGGGTGCAGGGTCCCAAAGCTTTGGGCCGTCCTCGACTGCTTTCCCGGGCCACAAGCAGGGAGCTGGAAGGGAAGCGGGGCTGCCGGGATTAGAACCGGCGCCCATATGGGATCCCGGGCATGCAAGGCGAGGACCTTAACTACTGCGCCACCGCGCCGGGCCCAAAGTATGTTACTTTCAATAACATACACAACAGATTTTACTCCAAAAGACAGTAACACATAAAAATTAGTTTTTAAAATATAGGAGAAAATAAAAACACATCATTGAAAGTTGTCTATTAGAGACTGTTGAAATTTCAAATATCAACAGGTCTTCCTCTCTCCCATAGATACACATATGCACTACAGAAAATCCCAAAAAAAATTTTAAAGCCATTTTTAGTTGCCAAAGTTTCAATATTGTTTCTCTAAGATTGTTTTTCCTACTAGAGCATCATTTTGCTTTTCCTAAGAATTCTGAATAAGTAGCCTGTAACACACATATTCAAGAAGAGCATACCAGAATGCAGGATTTTGTTTTGTTTTGGTTTTAATGTTCTTTACATTTATATTTTCTTAATAGTGAACTACTGAATTTCATTTATGATTCTTCACCAATAATTGTCCCAAATTCTGTTTCTTACTAGATACAGGTGAAGTAGCGCAAATACAAAAAAATCGAAAAATAAATTTCTTTGGGCAATGACATAGCACTCAAAAACTTGCAGACTTGCAGGTGGGTGCTTGGTCTGCAGGTCAGAGTGCATGCATCCCCAACAGAGATCCTGGAGTTCACTCTGCACCTGCTCCTGACTCTAGTTCTCTGTTAAAGGCAGGTCCTGGGGGAGACAGCAGTAACGGCTACACTGTTTCCTGAAGCCCAGAGGGTGAACTACTGAGCTCCCGGCTGCCGGCTTTAGTCTGGCTCCATCCTTTCGGTTACAGGTGTTTGGAGAATGAGCAGTAGGTGAGACAATTCTCTCTTTCTCAAACTAATAAATACATTTTTAAAAAAGTTTTATTGTTGGGAGCATTTCTAATTTTGGATTGTGGATCAGGAATTTTTTTCAAAAGATTTATTTTATTTCTACTGCAAAGTCAGATATACAGAGAGGAAGAGACAGAGAGGAAGATCTTCCGTCCAATAATTCACTCCCCTAGTGACCACAATGGCCAAAGCTGCGCTGATCCGAAGACAGGAGCCAAGACATTCCTCCAGCTCTCCCACGCGGGTGCAAGGTCCTAAAGCTTTGGGCCGTCTTTGACTGCTTTCCCAGACCACAAGCAGGGAGCCGGATAGGAAACGGGGCAGCTGGGATCAGAACCGGCACCCATATGGGATCCCGGTGCTTTCAAGGCGAGGACTTTAACCACTACACTATCGCACTGGGCCCGATCAGGAATATTTAACCAGTAAATTCTATGCCAATTTTCTAAAATCCAAAAACCTCCAAATTCTTTTTGTTTTTAAATATTTATTTTATTTTATTGGAAAGGTGGATATACAGAGAGGAGAGACAGAGAGGAAGATCTTCCATCCAATGATTCACTGCCCAGGCGGCTGCAACGGCTGGAGCTGAGCCAATCCGAAGCCAGGAGCCTCTTCTGGGTCTCCCACGCGGGAGCAGGGTCCCAAAGCTTTGGGCCGTCCTTGACTGCTTTTCCAGGCCACAGGCAGGGAGCTGGGTGGGAAGCGGGCCGCAGGGATTAGAATTGGCACCCATATGGGATCCTGGGCGTGCAAGGCGAGGACCTTAACCACTGCGCCATCATGCCGGGCCCAAAAACCTCCAAATTCTAAAACACATCTTGTGGCCCATATAGCAGCTTCCTGCAATGCTGACATCTCATACAGGCACTTATTTGAATCTTGGCTGCTCTACTTCCAACCAGCTCCCTGCTAACACACCTGAGAAAACAACAGAAGATGGTCCAAGTCACTCAGCCCTGCACCCAAGCAAAGGACTCAATGAAGCTCCTAGCTCCTGATTTTGGCCGGCACAGCCCAGCTGTCACTGCCATTTAGGGGGGTGAATCAGTGGATGGATGATGGATCTATCTTTCCCTTTCCTAAGGATTTTGGACACTTCACTGTGCTGAGTACAATTTTCTTAGATTAATAACACGTACGTGGAAAAGCAGCATGTTCAGAGAAGAATACACATTGCCTTTGCTGCCAACGGGCTGGGTTAATACCATCCCAGAAACAATGATTTACAGAAGTTCAATCTGAACAATGCAACCTGTCCTTGTTGTTTATAAAGTTGTGTGACAGAAATCAATAGCGGAACTTAGTTAAGAGAATGTAGAGCAAATGAAGAACTGCTGTAACAAGATTATGAGTGAAATACCACCTGGAAAGCTATGGCAAGAATGGCAGGATGCTGTTCTGCACTGCTGCATCGGAAACAGATTCCCACCACCATGTCCTACTCAACAGGAGATCCCAAAGCTCAGAGTTTATGTCACCATGAGGTCAGGAAAGAAATGGAGAAGCCGGTAGTACCACTTTCCTCTCCTCCATAATGCAGTCTGTGCAAGGAAAAGCCAAAATGCTCTGGTAAATTCTAATACCAGTAGAAGATGCTAATGCAGTTCAGAGGGCATTTGCATAGTAATCATAATGAAACTGACTGTTTTGTACTTAAGCATAAAACTTTACTCCTGAGAAAGAAATGGCTAAATGTATATTTCATTCTTTGCTTAGCGGACATCTTGTTTACATTCATTTGTTCATGTTAGAAATCAACTTTTCTTCTTAAGGTTTTAATTATTTAAGAGGTAAAGACACAAACAGAAAGACAAAAGGCAGTTCTATCTGTTGGTTCGTTCCCTAAATGCCTGCAACGGCTGGGGCGGGGAAGGCCCAGGGCTCCCACATGAGTGGCAGGGGCCCAGCTATCGAAGCTGTCACCTATAGTTCCAGCATGTGCATTATCAGGAAAGTGGAGTCAAGAGCACACCTAGGGGACCATTAATCACCACTGCTAAATGCTAACCTCTAATTGTCTTTATTTTCTAAAAATGTTTAGAAACTGAAATTCCCTTTACTGCCTAAATATGGGATTAACGGTGAAATCAGTATCTTTAATAATGCTAGTGAGCTAACACAATTCTTTTTCTTGTGTTCCAGGGACAGAGTTATGGAAAGTAAATATTTAGAGTTATCTGGGTCACACATAAGATACTATTTTATGCATCAATACGCATATTGCTTCACATGGGAGAAGAAATACAATGCACATATACGGAACTCTCAGACAAATGTTGAAGTTAAGCTTAATCATTGAGCAGTATTTGATCACTTGGTGATGTCCCTGCTCTAATCCACTATATGCATGATCATCCCTCGGGACCTGACACCACCACAGGCAAACTCCAGAGAGAAAAATGAATTTGCAGAGCTAGAGCAAAGACACAGGTGTGTATCCCAGCTGCATGTGTGCGCCAATGGTCACTGGTGAAAGCAGTAGACATCTGGTGTGATGTCATTAATAATCAGTTCTTTGTAACACCAAGCTAGTTTCATAGTCATATCTGGTAACTTTTCCCCCAGTTGGTTAGAGGAAGGAAAAAAGGAAAAGCCTAACACAGACTTACCCAAGCCACTCAGAGTATAGAGAAGGTCCCGGGTATCCAAGAAAAAGGGTCCGTTCTCCTGCTGCCCTTCTTCTTTGTAGTACAGCTTGTAGCCCTGGATGGCTGCGGTGTCCTCAGCGTCTCGCTGCCATTTCACCGAAATGGTGGTACAATTTAAGGGTTCCAAATGTAACTCCGGAGACCTGGGAGCTGACATCCACCAGAAAACAGAAATAATCCACAATCCAAAGGGAAACAGAATAGTCCAGATCTCTTAAATGGTAAGCCAACAGTTAACAAAAAACTTTAATTATAGAAAATAATACATCAGCCTAACTTTCTTTTTTAAAAAATCTATTTATTTTTATTGGAAATGTAGATGTAGAGAGAAGGAGGAGAGACAGAGAGGAAGATATTCCATCCGATAATTCACTCCCCAAGTGGCTTCAATGGCTGGTGCTGCGCCAATCTGAAGCCAGGAGCCAGGAACCACTTCCAGGTCTCCCACGTGGGTGCAGGGTCCCAATGCTCTGGGCTGTTCTCGACTGCTTTCCTGGGCCACAAGCAGGGAGCTGGATGGGAAGCGAGGCTGCTGGGATTAGAACCAGTGCCAATATGGGATCCCGGCGCATTCAAGGCGAGGACCTTAACCAGTACGCTATTGCACTGGGCTCAAGTCTAACTTTCAAACTCTCACAATGATACTAAACTTTGAGATGGAAAAATACAAAATGCTATTGTAAAAAGATAGGTAAATACCAAAAACACCCCTTCTTTTTCAAAGAAATGAAATTACATTCCAATTTGACATCTAACACTCTTCTGTAATCACTTAAGAACAAAAAGTGGTAACATATCTCATATTAGTATATGAGAAGGGTCTAGGGCCTCCCAATCTAAGGAAGGTGCTTGGCACACCACTTAGGTCACTGCCTAAGAAGCCTGTATCCACATATTATAAGCGAGCTTGGTTGACAGCCCACCTCCTCTGCTTCTAACGCAGCCTCCTGTGTGCCCCACCATTCTTGTAGGAGAACTGTACTGAGTTTCAGTTGCAGGCATTAGGAGAGTAAACCATTGAACAGAACATTGATCTCACTCCCCCTCTCTCTGCCTTTCAAATGAAATAAACAAAATTAAGAATTTAGAGACTTGAGCTGGCAACATGGCACAACAAGCTAAGTCAGCCTCCTCCTGCAGTGGCAGCACGTCTTTCAAGTGCCAGGTCAAGCCATGGCAGATCCACTTCTAATTTAGCTTCCTGCTAATGGCCTGGGAAGGCAGTGGATGGCTCAAGTCCTTGGGCCCCTGCACCCACATGAGAGACCCCAAAGAAGCTCCTGGCCACTGGCTTCAGACTGTCCCAGCTACAGTCACTGTGGCCATTTGGGGAGTGAACCAGCAGATGGAAGAACTCTTTCTCTCTTTCCTTCTCTCTCTATAACTCTCCCTTCCAAACAAACATAAATGACTCTTAAAAATATGAATTATGGTATATCGATTGAGCTGAAGGTATGGGCAATGATACTAAATCTCTACTACCTACATTGTACATTGCCTTGGGTAATTTAGTTTGATTTTGACTAATCTGTCCATAAAAGACTTGCTAGGCAGGGTCCTAAAGTCCTCGCCTTGAATGTGCCAGGATCCCATATAGGTGCTGGTTCTAATTCCAGCAGCCTTGCTTCCCGTCCAGCTCCCTGCTTGTGGCCTAGGAAAGCAGTCAAGGATGGCCCAAAGCCTTGGGACCCTGCACCTGTGTGGGAGACCAGGAAGAAGCTCTTGGTTCCTGGCTTCGGATGAGCGCAGCTTTGGCCATTGTGGTCACTAGGGGAGTGAATTATTGGACAGAAGATTTTTGTCTCTTCTCCTTTCTGTATATCTGACTTTCCAATAAAAGTAAAATAAATCTTTACCAAAAACAAAAAACAAAATGCTAAGTAAACTAACAGAACAATGAAAAAAAAAACCCACTAATAAGCTCTATGCAAAAAAGGGACAACAGTTGAACTTTTGTTTTCAAATAAGTGCATGCTTTGTGTAATTTTTATTCATAAAACAAAACTGAAAAAACAAACCTATCCTCAACAGTGTTTAGGAATTTACCTCTCACACTTGTAGCTTTGGGCGTCCTATGTGAAGTCCACACTGATGACTCTCCCAGCCCCACTCTGGTGGCTGCAGTAATCCGGACCAGATAGACACTGTCAGGCTTCAAACCTTCCCAAAGGTACTCATGTGTGGTCCCTGGGAGCTCCAGAACTTGGATGGAGCTCTCAGTGCTTAGGCGGAAGGACAGGCGATACAGCACCACTTGGCCACGCCGGTATTTGGCTGGGATCGGAAGCCAAGAGATGAGAATATCGGTGGGACTTCGACTTGTCAAGCTGATTTCAGGAGGTCTCAGAGGAACTAGTCAGATAAGGAAACAGGTTGCCAGTAAGTATGTAAGATCAAACTACCAGTTAGCATATCAATATATACTGAATAATCTTAACAGTAACATATAACATTGGAAAGGACAGATACTTTGTCTGGTAGAGATTTCCAGGGAAGCACAGAATAAGCAAAAAAAAAAAAAAAAAAAAAAAACAAACACCCACCACCAACAACCAAAAAAAGAAGACATATAATGACAGAGAGGATCAAGCACGTGGACCCCAAAAAAGTAAGGTTTTTATCATTGTTGTTATGATTATTTGTAGGGGTGACTTTAAAAATATTTAAGCCAAATACTTTCACCAACAGTTCCCTAAAGCAAAAAGGGCCTGAATCATACACGCATCAAGCCCAGGATTCCAGTGTTATAAACTAGGAGATAATTATTTGAAAAATCACACTTTAAAAATTATTACAAAGCTTGTCTTCTCACAATAGATTTTACCTTCTCTTCCAATAATTTGAACAAACAAGCATTTTAGGATGGGACAAGAACAGCTGTAGGCAATCTAACTTCAGCAGTGATGACTTGGGTTCTAGAGTCTCAGTGTCTCTAAATTTCAATCTCTTTTCTACCAACTGCTGCTCTGTGTGATCTTGGCAGCTTAACTTTTCTCTGTCTAGGAGATAATGACAACTAGCTTCTTCTACAGTCATTCCCCTCTCAGGTAATTACAATGATTTGTCTAAATGCTCAAGACAAACACCTGGATGTCACCCCAACTCCTATACACACATCCTACACTTAAAGCTGTGGCTCTACAAGTCTACTGCTCCAACCTTGGCTCATGTCACCTGGCTTCAACCTACATTGTTCCAACAGGTTTACTTGCTTCTATTCATCTGTTTTCTTAAAATGCTGGTCAGATGCTTTTCAGCTCAAAATAGTTCCCATGTCAGCCAAAAGTAAGAGCCCATGTTCAAGGCTGGTACCCATTCTTTCTTGTTGTACCTTCTATGGCCTCCCCCGTTGCCCCAGACTCCAGCCAGGGACTGCAGCCCTGTGAATTTCAATCTGCCTGGCCTAGGACACACCTTTCTAAGCCATCTGTACAGGCAGCTCCCACGCTTTTCTTTCTTTCAGTTCTTCCGTCACATGTCACCTCAGTGAGCCCTTCTCTGGTGATGACTGTTTTCAAAGTTTCAAACCTTCCCCAACACCTCATGTCCTCCTTTCCCATTTTCCCTCTTCTTAAGCAGCAGTGACACCCATCACTATCTGACACAGTCTATTATTTACTGTTTACTCTTATATTTTTTAATTCCTTTATTCGCTTTCCCACTAGCAAGTAAGGTTTATGAAGTCAAGGACACTTTCTCCTACGTTTTATTTACTACGAAGTACTGAATGACACAGAACAAGCACTCAGTAGGTATCTACTGAATAAATCAAAGAATGGGGGAAACTGAAAAGTCAGCTTATTAAGTACTTTGAAAACTTTTATGTGTACGGATGGATTCTTTCTCAGAGAAATACAATGAATCAAGCACCATTATTACTCCTACTTACTAGCCAAGGAGGATCAAAAACAAAGAGATTGAATCACTTTTCCAATGTCACACAACTAGTCATAGAAAGAAGAGACCAAGACAGAGGACTAGACAGAGCCCACATTCTCTATCTCTATATTCTGTCTCTTAAATACTAACAGTTCTACTGCGGGGATACGGAGGGATTCAAAACAGATGATGGAAATAAGGCTTTGGCTTCTAGAGGGAGTGAGCAGTGTTCACTAGCCATGCCTGTGGCGCAGTGCTCCGCAAATGAAAACAAACATTTCAGTTGGAGGAAAGTGGGCTGAGAAAATGCTGAAGTGTCCAAATGTCTATATGCCGTCCCCTACACAAAGTGAGCTGCACTAAATGAGAAAGTTGTAGAGAAGGAAAGGCGATCGTGACCCCAACGGCAAGCTAACAGAGTCTCCTGTGCTCAGACACAGGTTCTTAACAAGGCAGATATGAGGATACTTTAAAGGGCACACAGAGAGCAAGAATTTTAAATATACATATATATATATATAGTGATATCAAAGAGCTCTTAAATCTATGCATTTTTTTTCATAATGCACATTTTTCAGAACTCTCAGGCTGCTTTCTACATTTCATCTTAGACAAAGCTGTTAAATGACAGACCAGCGATACTACATAGATGTGGGGACCAGGCTTTTAAACGGAAATGAAAATGTGGAATTCAACTTTCCGAGAAGTGAACATTTTTATTCTGATTATCTAAATATGTAAGTAAGCAACATTACACAGATACAAGGAAGATCTCTGAGACCAAGTGACCAAAAAGAAGATATCTGGGAATTATTTATATGAAACTGCTCTGGAAGAGAGAGTGGAGTTTTTGCTGAGGTTGAGAGAAAACCTTAGTGAAGGCAGATCAGTGCGAGCAGGCATTTGTGAAGTAATTGCCTGTCCTATGGTGCGGGTACAGACGTGGGCCTCCTGAAGCCCCTGCAGGGAGACACCCCTCCTCCCACAGCACCATGGGCAGACACAGGGAAGTCAGTTCCCATGAGGCACAGTGGCACTTCTTATATCACAAATCCTCCCTCCAAAAAGGCACAACGCAATTTCCAAACTACGATTGGGAACTCACTGTGCAAGTCCTCTCTTCCTCCTCAAGGAATATAAGCACTTAATATTTCATAATGAACAACAAAAAAATTATATTATTCAATGAACACCAAATTGTATTAACTTTTAGTTTCAGCAGACCAGTATCTTAAATCTTCAGTCATTATATACACTCAAATGTAATAGTCATTAGTTATTTATGCCTAGAAAACCTCACATTCTGTTCTATTCAGTTGAACAAAATTATTGTAATGTGTGCATATATATTTTTAAGATTTATTTATTTTTATTGGCAAGGCAGATCCATAGAGAGCAGGAGACAGAGAGAAAGATTTTTCTATCCACTGGTTCACTTCCCAAGTGGCCCTGATGGTTGGAGCAGAGCTGATTCGAAGCCAGGAACCAGGAGTCTCTTCTGGGTCTCCCACACAGGTGCCGTGTCCCAAAGACTTTTGGCCATGCTTCACCTTTCCCAGGCCACAAGTAGAGAGCTGGATGGGAAGTGGAGCAGCTGTGACATGAACCAGCACCCATATGGGATCCTGGCACATGCATGGTGAAGAATTAGCCATTAGACTATTGTTCCAGGCCCACAAATGCTCATATTTTAAACTAGGAACTAGTTGAGGGTAGCATATGGCCTTGGGGTTAGAAATCACCTAGGATCCTCCCATCCATATCAGGTACCAGCACTGGTCCTAATTTCAGCTTCCTAGCAATAAGTATCACTGGCAAAAGCAGGTGATGGCTCAAGCAGTCGAGTCCCTGCTACTAATGTGGGAACCTGTATTGAATTCCCTTTGCCCTGGCCCAGTCCTAGCTGTGAACAGGAATTTGGAGACTCAATCAATGCATGGGAAAGCACTATCTCTCTCTCTCTCTCTCTGCCTTTGAAATAAATAAAGTTAAACAGAAAACAGATACAAAGGTAATGCAATTCAGTCGTTAAAAACATAAATGAGTTAGAGGGCCCAGTATGGTAACCTAGCAGTTGAAGTCCTCGCCTTGTAAACCCAGGATCCCATATGGGCGCTGGCTCTAATCCCAGAAGCCCTGCTTCCCACTCAGCTCTCTACCTGGGAAAGCAGTCAAGGATAGCCCAAAGCCTTGGGACCTGCATCCACATAGGAGACCTGGAAGAGGTTCCAGGCTCCTGGCTTTGGATCAACGAAGTTCCGGCCGTTGCAGCCACTTGGGGAGTGAGTTATCGGATGGAAGAGCTTCTTCTCTGTCTCTCCTCCTCCTCTCTGTATATCAGACTTTCCAACAAAAAATAAAATATATCTTTTTTAAAAAACATATGAGTTACAAATAAAAGACTTCTTTATTCTGATGTTATTGGCAAAACAGGATTTGAAACAGTATTCCATTGTTTTAACTTAAATCACTTCTCTAGTTTGCACATAAACTGAAATTAAGCATATGAATGCTCATACTTAAGTATTCTAGAATCACGTTTTCTTACCATCCTCTAGAGTATTCTGTGTAACATGGTCAGACATCTGGCTGGCTCCCATTGGCATATAAGCCACAATATAGAAAGTATAATTGCTGGCAGGTTCCAAGTCATCGATAATATAATCAGTCGTGTCATTCCCAAGGACTACTTGATATTCTTCATTATTTAAACCTAAATTAAAGAACCCATATTTAAAGACCAGGAATACTCAAAATTAACAGGACCAGTGGTTGGTTGTTGAGTTGAATCTGTTACCATTCCCACCCTTTTACAAAACACATTCAAGACACTCTTGATTTCTTCAAAAGTGACCATGTCTTGCTACAAACCACACATCTGAATTTTCCTTGAAATGTCCAACTGAAGAGAATTAACGTCTCTAAGCTTCATTTATCAGCTAGTCAAAAGCTAGAGACACGTGCCGTAGTAACATTAAAGAGCTCAACAGAACACAGTACAGTAATCCTTAACAGTGTAAATTTTACTTTGCTTAAACTCATGTTTTTTTTTTTCAAACATAAATGAAGAAAAGAGTAGGAAATATACCGACTCTTATAAAAACAAACCAAATCAAAAGTTGTCTTGCAAAAGATCTCATCATTTCCCCTACAGATCCAACTAAATCTGACTGATGTAAGTTGCTTTATACTGAAAGCAAAAGAACTGGAAGCACAGAATATACTTCAGATTGTTTTGTCCCAGAGTGAGCTTTCTTTTTTTCCCAGTCCCTACCCGCAAAAAACCTTCTCACCAATTCTTAATAAAATATGCATGGCGAGGTACAGAAGAGGATTTGTCTCTGTGGTGGTGAACTCCTACAGAGCCAACCTGTAAAGTGCAGTAAGAGCTCTGCCAGCTACAATGCTCTGCCAGCAATTCACAAAATAAAAAAGCCCATCAACTTAATCAAACCTCACTGAGGACCTCGCCCCTTCTCCCCATGCTCCAGTCACAAACAAAACAGAAGGCAAATTCCACGATTAAGTTTTCCCACAATTCTGAATTAACTTGATAGCATTTTAATTAGACAAGATTACAGGCATTTCACAACAGACTGGTTAATGGTTCGCTAATTAGGAGCTGCATAGTACGATTTCTGACCTACCAAACAAGCTCCTTGAGTTGGAATTAGAAAGCCTTGTTCTGCCCCTGAATAGCCCACTGAGCTGCATGCGGAGGCTCTAATGAAATCACCGTAAAAGCAAACAAGAGAAATTTCCACCAAAACCAGCATTTCTTTTATCTTCTTAAATCACTGAGAGGAAATTAACATACTCCAATAGGCTCAGCCATCAAGTTTTCATTCTTCTTGCTACCACGACCACTGATTTACACTCAAAATACTCCTTTTTAAAACACACTTCCAAGTGAAAAAGAAAAAAAAAAAACTAATAACAACCACCACAACAAAACACCTGTTCTCTACAATTTCGATATTTGTCACCATTTTTCAGGCATTTGAATGTGTTTTTTAGTGTTTAATATATACTGCAAAAAACAAAACAAAACAAACAAACAAAAAACCAAGCTAACAGTGTTTAAAATCTCTTGGTTTCAATGAAAAGTTACTAGAGAAATCTCTAGCATTCATAAATGACTTTTTTTTCCTTTAAAATTTTTGCTAAAACAGAAATGATCCTAAAGGAATCAGTAATTCTGGATAAAAATTTTAACATGTATTTGATTTTTACTTTCATATGATAAATGAGATATCAATAAAGAGCATCTTATTCAAGGATCAGAGTTCTTGATTTCACAAAACATTCAAATTACACAAAATCAAATACATGATGATTTCATGCTTTGCTGTTAACAGATTACTGCATTACTATACTAAGTCAGACCACCATTCCTATGTAAAATCTCTTGTAAGAAATTTATACATTCGCTGGGATAAGATTCCTAAGTACTAGGTGTTTTTCTGCAGACAGATGCTCTGCATTGGCTGGTATTTGTTTCCAAGTAGAAAAGTCTCAGACCGTACTTACATACAGGAAGTGAACAAAGATAGGAAAATGAGGAAAAAGTTTACATGTGATAGATTATTTTCTTCAACAGATAAACACCACAGAATTGCAAAAATATTTTGTTAGACTATATAAAAACATCATTTACATTGGAAATAAATCCTTGGCAGCAAGTGGTACTTAAAAATCAACACTGCTCATGCTGCCTACCTTCTGCCTTCATGTAGTGCACAGAGTAAGCGATGACTTTGTCTGAATTATACAGTGGCCTCTCCCAAGCTAAGAGGATGGCTGAACTCGACATGGTTTCAGCATGCACGTTATAGGGGGCGCTGGGTCGGTCTTCTGACATTACCACAGTCAGTCTGGCTCTGGATAAAACAGATCCTTGGCTATTCTCAGCCATGCACTGGTAAATCGCATCATCTTCAGGAATTATTTGGTTAATTACCAGTTTACTGCAGAAAGAAAAAAAAAGTATTTATTTCTAGGGAAAATTCCAAGAATGATACAAAAATCCACTTAGCTGCCACTAAATGTACTCAGAACTTAAATCACACAAATAACTGAGGAAAACTGCGATCAACTCTTGTGGAAATATTCTATACTGATTCTCTAAAATTGCTTGCATTTTATGAGTCTAAGTAAGTATCTATATGACATCCAAATCCTGTTTCCTTTAGATGACATTTTACTCTATTTTTTAAAATTTGGCTCTTGGAGCCAGAGTTGTGAGGCATGCATAGCACACTGAACCACTGCCTGCAATGCTGAATTCCAGTGTGGGCACCAGTTTGTGTCCTGGACATTATGCTTCCAATCCAGTTCTCTGCTGATGGCCTCGGGAAAGTAATGGCAGATGGTGCAAGAACCCGAGCCCCTGCACCCCTGCGCCCAGGTGAGAGACTTGGAAGAAGTTCTCAGTTCCAGCCTGGCCTAGCACTGTCCATTGCAGTTCTCCAGGGAGTGAACCAGTGGATGGAAGACATTTCCCGCTCTGGAATGCTCTCAAAAAACAAGCAAGTTTTTCTTTTTTTAATTGGTCTTTTAAGGAAGCATAGACCTCCAGAGTAGCAGCCAATTTACACACTATTACAATATATATTCAAAATTGAAGTCTCCCAACATTTTTATCTTCTTCAAAACAAATGAGAATCTTACATGAATTCATATTTATATTAAAACAAATGAATTGTTACAATTATCACATTGGAACTGTGGAGAAATTCTTAAGAGAATTCTCATTTTCTGACTTGGTAGTCCTTCAGCTCTGAGGAGCTGTCAAACATTCACATCTTTATAATCTATCACTTCCATGATTCATGTATAAAATACAAACGGACGTATGGCACGTTAATGTTATAAATCTTAATTAACTTCTTTTAATTTAGTTCAGTTTTAACTACTTGCCTAAGTATTTAGTATTATAACCTTTTACAAAAACATTACAATATATAAAACAGTAACAAAGTAATGTGGCCCACCTGTTGTACATCTTAATTCTACCATTTGAATGGATCTTTCTTCCATTTTTCAACCATGACATTTTGGGTGAGGGAATTCCTTCTGCCTGACACACAAATCGCGCAGTGCCAGCTCGAGGTCTCGTTAAACTCTCTGGCCATTCAACAAATGAAGGAGGAGCTGTTTTTGAAGAAAGAAAAAAACTATTTCTGTGTTCCCAACAGGAATGACATAAATAGTACAGTAAATGAACCAAGTCCTTTCCCTGATATTCTGGGCCCCTATCTCCATCTTATCTCCATCTTTCCTGTATCATTTAGCTAGTGGGCACCTCTTATGTTTCCTCCATTGAGAGCATGTCTACAAACATATTAAAAATACGTGTATCCCAAATTCGACTCAATGTATATACATAACAAATGAATACATTTTTAGATTGGTGAATGGGTACATGGATTTGTGGATGAGTGAAAAGGAGTCATAAGGAACAGAATGGCTTGCATGCATAGAGGATGGTGATTTCAGAATGATTCTGTGGTAGTATCTTAATGCAGGGATTCAATTTCCTCCTAAAACTCACTGTTGGATTATAATACTTCCTATCAACCTTCGCGTTAGTGTTGCAAAACTAAAAAGCAAAACTAAGCTAAGAATAAAGTAAATAATATTAGGAAAATTCAGCCCCAGTTTATGTCTCAGCAGGCATCTGGCTGAGGAGGATGCTGTTTACACGAGATGTGGTGTGCAGTGTACAGCTCCAAAGCAACCTGTCCTGACTTACAGTAGCAGATACTCCCAACAGGGAGCTAAGGTCGCTTCCTTACTGAGGGTGGAGGGAGCTGGCAGATCAGTCATGATGACAGATTGGTGTGTTGTGTGGGATCCCAAGGTTTGAGAATCTGGGCAGTCCCCAGCTAGTGCATATATTCCACTAGTACACGTGTCATTGTAAAGAATACAAATTTTTCCAAAAGAATTTGCAAATATTAAAATATAAACTCTCCTGGCTACAGAATGAGAAGAAACATACCTAATACAGTTAAAGTTGCCATAGCAACTGTGAAGTTGCGTGTGCCAGGAGTTGTGGCCCGACAAACATAGACTCCAGCATGCTGCAGCTTGACATCAGAAATCATGAGATTACCATTTCCAAGCACCCGGGTATTAAAGACATCAATGGATTTGTGATCTATTTCAAAGAGAACACTTCAGTTAAAGTAATATAACATATAATCTGAAATTATGTCAAAAGACTACCACTGAGGTAATTAGTCATGAAAAAGTATCAGCTTGTCAACATTAAACTCTGTTCTCTATATACTGAAATGTCAATAAGATAAAAGCTGTTCAACCATCAAAATTGCATTTAGTATAAAATATAAAGACTATTGCCAGTTTCATTAGAATTAGCAAAGATTGCACCCAATGCTGTGGAAGAGTAGGTAAGGCTGCTGCTGGCAGCACCAGCAGCTCATTGGTGCCAGTTCAAGTCCTTGTTGCTAATCTAATCCAGCTCCTTGCGAATATGGATGGAAAAGAGGTAGAGGATGGTCTAAGTGCTTGGACCCCTAGCCGCCTGTTTGGGAGACCTGGAGGAAGCTCCTGGTTCCTGACTCTGGACTGGCTCAGCTCTCACAGTTGTAGCTACCTGGGGAATGAGCTAGCAGATACAAGACCCCTCTGTCTCTAATTCTGCCTTTCAAATGAATAAATGAGAATTAAAAAAAAAAAAGACTCAACAAAGTTTAAAGAGTTAAGTTTTGTTTGTTTTTCTCTGAGAACACTTACCAAGACGGCTCCAAGAAATGATAGGCTTAGGATTTCCTGTGGCCATGCATTCCAAAACAACGGTCTGATGAAGAGACACAGTCATGTTCTGTGGGCCTGCTATAATCGTTGGTGTGTGGAAGGGTTTAGACTCCTCAGCTTTGGGAAGAAAAGCATATACAAGCAGGCTATAACAAAGTTAAAGGAGCTCAAACAGCTATTCTTAAATTATCATATGCTAGCTATTTAAGTTGTTAGTCACATACAACTCATGCACTGAAGTGCATAATTCAATGGCATTTAGAATTGTAGGTGTCATGTAATTATTACCTCGATCAATTTTACATTTCCATCACTCCAAAAGAAATCCCTTATTCATATCCATTAGCGGTCACTCCGCAGTCTCTCACTCCGGTTAGTAACCCCACTAGCTACTTTTTCCTTGAATACTCTGTATGGTCTTGGGTTTCTTGTCTCTCTTCAATGAATGTTGTTTCTCACAGTTCATCTATTTTGTAGCATGTATCATTTTTTGATTGGCTGAATATTTAATTATAAAATTAATAATTCAGTGATAATAAATAATACTTGGAAATGTTTAAATTATTTGGATAAAAATCATTTTATTTACCCATTCATCAGTTGATGGACACTTAGTGACTTCCGTATCATTCACTTTTGAGGTTCAAACATTCATTTAATATGTTCACTAATCTCACTAAGAATTTATAGCGAGATAGAAAGAATGCTTTTTTCCTTATCATTCATACTAAAATGCTAACTGATATCACCTAAAAATAAATCACAGTATTAAAAAAAGCCTAACTTCAGCTTAAAGTTTTTCAAAATTTCTTTTTTTCAAAACCTAAAGGATTTTTTAGGAGGTAGTGCTCCAGACAAGAAATAAACATTCACATAGAACTCAACAATGTCATTTAGTGGGATGTTGGCAGGGCAGAAGTCAAGCTTGTCTGTTAAAGAAGAGCTACGTAAGGGAGAAAAGAGATGGTTTTTTCCGGATGGATCACGACATTACAACAGTCCTCAATGGTGTTTTATTAAAGTCAGGGCAGAAAAGGCAACAGCTGGGCCAAAAATCATCAAAAGAAAATTAAGTCTTTTCTGTGTAGTACCTGGGATCACGACAAGCGAGGCCTCCATACTTTTACGCCGGTGGGCTACAGTTGCAGCAACACAACGGTAAGTTCCAGCATCCCTCTGGCCAACATCATAAATCTGTAGCACACCTGTTGGCAGGGTCGTTACCCTGTTGGAGAAGAAACTTGGTTAAACTTTTTTCTAACAGATTTTATATATTATTAAATATATTCCATAACAGGAATTAACACACTCAATCTTTGCAAGTGCTAGAAGCAATACTTCAAAAATCTTTTGGGAATGTTATCTTGCTTTTTTGTGTCAATCTGGGTCTCTACAGCTTTTTAAAACATAAACAATTCTGCCTTGACAGTCTGTGAAATCTATTACCTTAATTTTACTCAGAGAGATACTAATTTGACATTATAGCTGAGGTTTAGCTAATTAGTGTCTCAGACTGATCTTCAATGTATTAATATCTATGTATTCACCAAAATACACATGGATGAAAGTTTCAAAACAAAGTGAGGGGGACAGAAGGAGAAAAAAGTAGAAAAGGATATCATTATGTTCTTAGAAATGCATCAATAAAACTTACTGAAATGGCTAAAACTAATTAAAAATGTAAAAAAAAAAAAGCAAAAAATTTTTTGTTAAACCACCTTTAATGGAAAGTATTAAAATCACCATCCAATTCTGGTTTTAGAGACTCCTGATACACAATTAAACAGTGTGAGAACTATTCCCGCTCACCAGTGTGTTTTCTGAACTTTGAAATTCTAATTTGAGGGGCCAGTGCAGTGGTATAGCATGATTAATCCTCTGCCTGAAGTACTGGCATATCACAGGGGCGCTAGTTTCAGCTGTCCACTTCAAATCCCTACTTATGGCTGGGAGAGGTTGGGAGAACTGGCTAGAAGCAGGCAGAGACAGGCGACAGCACAACACTGAAGTTCGATGCCAGGCACTGTGGCTGTCTCTGAGGACCCTGCAAGTGGATCCCTGCAGACAGGACTCAAGGCAGACATGCAAGATGCCAAAGGAGCAAGACCACAACCAGAGGCTACCAGGGCCGCCTCCTGCCTCAGACCTGCAGCTCTAGCACAGCTGAGAAGAGCAGCTTGGGGACAACTCCCTCTTGCCTTACAGATGAGAAAACTGAGCCTGAGAGAAAACAAGTGAGAGTGCTGGAACCTACAGCACAAAGGGCCTTGTTACCGTGCCGCAGGGCAGCAGAAGGACGATGCCTCAGACACGGGCTAGATCAAAATGAACACAGGGAGATTTTGGGAGACTTCCAGCCAAAATGAATCTTGAGGGGCCAGTGTGATGGCTCAACTGGCTAATCCTCTACCTTCCAGTGCCAGGATCACATGTGGGTACCAGTTTGTGTCCTGGCTGCTCTAGTGGGACATCCATTCAGCTCCCTGTTTATGGCCTGGGAAAACAGTGGAGGATAGATGAAAGCTGTGGAACTCTGCGCCCGTGTGGAAGACCTAAAGGAAACTTCTGCCTCCTGGCTTTGGATTATACCAGTTCCAGCCATTTAGGAAGTGATCCAGCAGATGGAAGACCTCACTGACTCTCTCTCCCAAATCTCAAAAAAACCATACATAGTATATATTATATAATATATATTATAGTGTATATTTGTTCCTTTATATAATATATAATATATTGTGTATACTATATATAGATTTATATATTATATGAATATAAAATAAATATAGAATTTATTTTAGATTGAGTAGTAAACCATAGATGAGAAATGATTGTGTGAAAAAATTGATAACAGTTATCCTCAAAGGAGAGACTATGTTTCAGAGAAAAATGTGGAAGATGGCTCCCTATATTCCCTGAGTGTTCTAAATGTCCATATATCACTTGGCCCTAGATCATTATAGTAGAAATTTTGTAAATTAAAAATAAAACTTAAAAAATGTTTTTGGGCCTGGCACTATACTAGTGGCTAATCACCTTGTGTGTGCCGGGATCCCATACAAGCTCCAGTTCATGTGGCAGCTGCTCCACTTCCCATCCAGCTCCGTGCTTGCAGCCTGGGAAAGCAGCTCTGGAGGGCCTGAGGAACTGGGACCCTGTACCTGCTGGCTTAGAAGAAGAAGCTGGCTTAGCTCTGCTCACTGCAGTCACTTGAAGATGAATCAGTGGATGGAAGATCCTTCTCACTGCATCTCCTTCTCTCTGTATATCTGCCTTTCCAATAAAAAAAAATTCAAATATGCTCTTCAATAACTTCCTGCTGGCTTAGCCAGAAGAAGCTGGCTTAGCTCTGCTCACTGCAGTCACTTGAAGATGAATCAGTGGATGGAAGATCCTTCTCACTGCATCTCCTTCTCTCTGTATATCTGCCTTTCCAATAAAAAAAAAATTCAAATATGCTCTTCAATAACTTCTTTTATCTTAGTGCTCTGTCATTTTAGCAGATATTTTTGCCTATTTACAAATAGGGCAGGAATTAAACTTCTGGAAGTTCCTGCCAAGTTCTTGATACCTGAACTCCAATCACTCCTGGAACACTATACATACATGTATGCATGTTTCTATGTGTCTGTGGGCATGTGTATAATGAAAAGAAGGATTCTAAGAAGGAAGCATAGAAATGGGCAGTTAGCAAGGCATACACGGCCCTTAAACTAGCATTGCTCTTCTCAACAGTGAGGTTATACTTAGTTTCCTAAAAACTCGGGCTGCAATCCAGACACTCAGATGGCTGTGTGATGGGAACAGATGGTTGAAGAAAGGAACAAAACAACAGGATAATGTACTTGACTTCCATTCTGAGCCAGCAGTCATGTCCTATGCACCAGAAATTCACTATCCACTTCTTTGCCTAAGCTTCAAATATTATTTTTAAGATTTATTTTTATTGGAAAGGCAAATTTTATAGAGAGACAGACAGAAAGATCTTCCATCCATTGATTCACTCCCCAAGGGCCACAACAGCCAGAGCTGAGCCAATCTGAAGCCAGGAGTCAGCAGCATCTCCGAGTATCCCACATGGGTGCAGGGTCCCAGCGCTTTGGGCCATTCTTGACTGCTTTCCCAGGCCACAAGCAGGGAGCTGGATGCGAACTGGAGGCGCCTGGGACATGAACCAGCGCCCATATGGGATCCTGGTGCATGCAAGGTGAAGATTCAGCCACTAGGCTATCAGCCTATTTAGCCGGGCCTTACGTTTGAAATATTTTAAAAAATTATCTTCAACCAGGTCTTTCTTCCTTTTTAGCTTCTGATGAAGTTTCTCTTCTTCTTTTGTCACTGACAAAAACAAAAGCTACATTTACCTGTCCACAGTCATCGGCAGAGCTGTCCGATTGAATTCCCATGTTATGACTGCAGGAGGGTTAGAGGAAATCTTGCAGGCAAATCTGGCAACTCCTCCATCCTGGACTTCTGTGGAAACTGGTTGTACTTCAAATGCAGAAATAGCTGTAAAATAAGATTTAACCAATTCAGAGTGAGTACACGATGACTACATCTAAAAATCACATTTTGCTACATGTTCTTCATCAGGCTGGAATACTTGCTCAGACATAAAACCAACCTAATTTAATTAGGACAAAAGATAATTTAGTAAATAATTTTGGATAACCACTAGATTGTTCACAGCCGAAGAAGTCTAGTCTTTCCCAGAATTAAATTTGAAACAGATTTAAGAGATTTCCTACTTGGGAGAAAAACATTAACATAAATAGAGCAAAAACAAGTGATTAACAATGCCATGCAATGAGCAAACTGTGTGTTACAAACCTCAAAGACTACAGTCTATCAGAGGTAAGGGAAATACAAACTAGACAGATGAAAATCAGTTACAGAAAAGGAAGACTCTGTGCGGATGGAAAGAAAAAACCAGACATGTAAGGCATAAGAAAAGTAAGAAAAGATAGGGCCAGCACGGGGGCCTGGCCAGCTAATTCTCTGTCTACTGTGCTGGCATCCCATATGGGCACCAGTTTGAGTTGCAGTTACTCCACTCTGAATCAGTTCACTACCTGGGAAAGCAGTGGAGGATGGCCCAAGTCCTTGGGACCGTGCATCCATATTTGGGACCTGGAAGAAGTTCAAGTTCCTTGGGTTGAGTCCAGCCCAGCCCAGCTATGGCTGTCACAGCCATTTGGGGAGTTAACCAAGATTCTCCCGGTCTCCCTCTCCCTCTCTGTAACTCTTTCAAGTAAAATAAATAAATCATTTTCTTCATTTTTTTTTAAGGCATAAAGGTGGTTTATTCAGGTTAGCCTAGGTCTCCCAGCCCTCCCCACCCCACCGCCCAGCAGGGCAGGCGGGGGAGGGGTCACTGCAGCGGAGAGAGAGCCAATCATTTCTAAAAATTAAAAAAAAAAATAGTAAGAAATGTACAGCTGGTGTTGCCAGCATTTTGAGAAAGAACCAAGACTCCTGGACAGTATTTTAGATTAAGGGATTATGGGAACATAGGAGAGTGGGGATAAAGCAGATCTGTGCCACTGTACAAAGTAAGCCATCAATGACGATTCCTGAATAGAGGAATATCATAAGAACAGTAGTGTCTGGAAAAATTAACCAGTCATTAAATGGGGAATTGGAAAAAAGTCAAACGTCCAACAGGCTGACTAGAGTGACAGACCTGGGGAGTGGCAGAGAGAAGACATTCTGGAGCTATCTCAAAGAAAACCAAGGTTTGTTTCTCCTCGGACGGGTATCTGTCACTGCGAACAGCATCTGGAAAAGGGGATCGCAGCAAAAAAAGACAGTTTCCTCTGATGAATAAAACGGTAGACAAAATCCAGAGGCCATTTTTCCAAAGCAGAGAAATGTTGCTTTTTTTTTTAGGGATATTTCTTTACTGTTTTAAGTAGTCCTCCAATGATCTTCAGTGTTCAACTGGTTTATATTTCAGAGTCCATGTCTACCAACTCGAGATAGCAGCATGGGCTCCCTTCTCTCTAGTAAGTCTTTCAAGATGCCAAGCCCTTGGCTCTGACCCCTGGCTTCTGGATTTGGCCTGGTTCAGCTGTGGCTGTTGGTAGCCAGATGTGGGGATAAACTAGCAGAGGGAAGATCTCTCTCCCTCTTTAACTCTTTCATATTAATAGATAAGAGTTTTGACAGAGAGAGAGAGAAACATGTGTGTATAGTGTGTATTTCTCTAACGCAGAACTTTTTCTCCAAGCAGTCTCCTTGTTTTTCCTCACATGGATAAATCTATGAAATGCCGAGAGTTTCTATTATGAAAATCAAACTAATTTTCACCTTATGCCAGAGGCTAGGACCTGGGCATCACACAAGTCTGAAACCTGAAAGACAAATGTATTTATTCTCTAACTCAGTAGGAGTATTTCTCAATCCCTCTCTGTTTTTTTGCAAAGTATGACAGCAATATAAGGATATATGTATGTATGTGTTGATGGACTGATATATCATTTCACTTACATATAAATATATCATACATCAAGCACACAAGTACATAAATATTCTTCTAAAAATTACCCCAAATATTTTTTAGTCACCTTTTTTTTTTTTTTTAAGATTTACCCTTTTTGTTTGTTAGACAGATTACATAGAGAAGGAGACAGAAAGATTCTCCATCCACTGATTCTCTCCCCAACTGTCCACAATGGCCAGGGCTAAGCCAATCCAAAGCCAGGAGCCAGGAGCCTCTTCCGGGTCTACCATGCCAGTATAGGGTTCCAAAGCTTTCGGCCATTCTCCATTCCCTTCCCGGCCACAGGCAGGAAGTTGGATGGGAAGTGGGCAGCCAGAACATGAACTGGCACCCATATGGGATTGTGGTGCAAAGCAAGAATTTTAGCCTCTAGGTCACCGTGCCAGGTCTCAAAATATTTTATATTAAAATGTCTGACTTTGGGACCACAATTATGGACAGTGAGTAAAGATGCCTGGCTATTGCAGCCATCTGGGAACAAAACCAATGAACGGAAGATCTGTTTTTCTTTCTCTCTCTGTAACTATTGCTTTCAAATAAATATGTAAATCTTCAAAACTAAATGTCTGTTGGGTATCTTTCCAACACTCAACCTGTGGGCAAAATAATTTTTCCTCAAAAAATACCAAGCTAAATACTGTTTCAGATTCATCTTAGCTCCTACATCGGTGAATGAGTTAGACTAATTTACTAGAAAGAGTGAATGCACATATTGCTTTAGCAGTTAATCCAAATCCATACAAAAAACACTGTCTCTACCATAAATGACACACAGTATGACATATGGGAACTAATTTCCATGAATCACATTAGTAGCAATCCTATTTTCTTTGTAATAATACCACTCAGTTTTAGTTAACTCTGCTGAGAGGTTCTGAGTCACATAATTCTTCATAGAATAATAAGTAAGATTAATTGTCTCCCCAGTCAACTCAAAGATTTTAATCACTTTTATTTTAGAAAACTTCTATTTTCTTCTAGGTTCACAAATTCATTCAAAAAAACATGTATTTACTGCCTAGTACACTCTAGGTACCAAGGATTTAGCAAAGAATCAAGTTTGCAAAAACTCTATTCTCAGGGACCTCACACAGTGGAGAAAGGCATTTCACTAAATTACTATGGAAGTAGGTAATGTCAAACTGTGATAAATATGGTGAAGAAAAAGTACAGAGTATTATGAAAGCACATAATAGAGGTTTTAAGCAATTAATAGTGACCAAAATGACAAGAGTGGAACATATATTTTACCACCAAGTACCACACTAAGTACATTACACTTTCTAAGTTAATCCTCATAAACAGCACCACTTCAACGTTCAGTTATGGAAACTGAGGCACAGGGAGGCTAAGCAACTTGCTCAAAGTGTTTTAGCTGGGAAATAGTGAAGCTGAGCTGTAAATCCAGATAATATGAACTCTCCATGACTAAAAGTTGGAGCTCTCAAGAATTTTTATAAAAGATAATAATTGCAGCTTCTAATTTTGAGCAATTCTGCTGCTCAGTAGAAGCTGAAATGCATTGTTTTTCTAGGGGCAAACAGTATGTATTAAATCCAAAATTTCTAAAACATGAAACTCCTGTTGGAACAGATGTTTGATACAGCAGTGAAAATCTGCTAGGGACATTCATATCCCATTCTAGAGAGCCTGGTTCTTACTTCTGATCCACCTTCTGGCTGATGTGGGCCCCTAGAGAGAGCAGGGGATGGGTCAAGCATTTCATTCCCCGTCACCCATATGACAATCCCGCACTGGGTTCTTGGCTCCTGGCTTTGGCAAGGCCCGGCCTCGAATCTTTTGGGTACCTGGGAGTGAACCACCAGAATTAAGATCTGTACTCTTTCAAATAAAAATCAGTCATAAAAACTTTTCTGCTTACTAGGATTTAGAAGTTATAGTTCTCATCTCAAACAAGGGAAATGTTCACTCGTAGGTTGTGTTCAAGACAAAAACATATGTAAATTAGGTCAAGCTATGTTAGTCTAAAATTTATTTAAGAATCAAAAAATATATAAGATTTATTTGAAAGTCAGGAAAAGACAAGAGTGAGATCTTCCATCTGCTGCTTTATTCCTCAGATGGCTGCAATATACAGTGCTTGACTAGGCTAAAGCCAGGAGCCAGAAGCTTCATCCAGTTCTCCTACATGGGTGCAGGGGTCCAAGCACTTGGCTATGCTGCACTGCTTTTCCCAAGCTACTACCAGGAAGCTGTGTCGGAAGCACAGCAGCCAGGACACACACACCTGTATGGGACACTGACACTGAAAGCAGTGGCTTTATGTGCTACCCCAGAATTCTGGCCCTGAGATTCAAGTGTACTTTTGCATTGATACTTATTCAGGTATCCAGAGAGATTCAATCTGGGAGAAAAGGATGCCAAACATGGAGTGAGATCTGCTGTGGGTCTGAATGAGAGCCACAATGACAGGTATGAAGATGTAAGAAAACATAAGAAATGCTGCATAATAAACAACATGATCTGACATGATGTGGTCAAGAGGTGTTTCAAAGAGGAAGGGAAAAAGAGAAGGGTCACATGGTTCAAGTATTCTTGAGCACAGAAAGGTACCAAGATGTATCGCAGATGACAAAGGAACTGGCCAACAGGCTTCTCAATACCCAGCCCAAACTCAGCTCTCGAGAAAGAAGTGGACACGTTTCTTGAGAGGATGGGAAGGCTGTAAAATGATACCAGGAATTAAAAATCTAAATAACTCTAAGTATCTCTTTCTCTTGAGTTTTAAACTGGTGGCTCAGATGTAAGGCTGCCATTAAGATTTCTCTGATTTCAACATAAGTAAGAAATATATCTTCCCTTTAAGAATCTGGCACAAAACAGGGCAGGTGTACACAATTCAGTTCTATACAAGAGAGAGGCAAGGCATCACAGGTGTGAATGTAGACACACACTCACACACAGAGCTGGTTAGAATTTTGGCTTTGTGCTCATGAAGTATGTGCTTGTGTGTGGAATAATGATCCCTAGCTACATTATAAAATCA